AAATTAGCAATATTTTATACTTGGGGCTCTTTTTAGATAGAAAAGTATAACAGAGAGAGGAGCTCTCAAAAAAGTCCCTTACCTTTAAGAGGTGTGGGGGTATTTATAAACTCCTTAGAAGTGCTTTACACATGTTGCACTTCTATTAGTCCCTTTGGATCCATTTAAGTATATATAAGCTCCATAGTGACTCATGCATGTGCTCCTTTGCATTTGAGCCTCATGGGCCTTTATTACGTTTATGGGCTAGTTAGATTATTATCCCAACACTACTCCCCCTCTAGTGATTTGTAAGCTTGTTGAAAAATTACAAAGGTTCAGCTTCTTGCTTTTATAGGTTGTAAAGAGGTCCAATTTATTCTTGAGGAACCTAGCTTAGAAACCTTGATTTGAGATTTCCAACCCGTAAGCTGAGATTGACGACTTGAAACCAGGAAGGTGAGGATGGTCATCACTCATCTCCTCCTCCCCTCATTCCAGGGATCTTAGGGAGTTGAGATTGATGACCTGGAACCGGGAAGCTAAGAGTGATGACCTGGAACCAAGAAGCTCAAATTGATGACTTGGGATCATGGAGCTTAGATTGATGACCTAGAACCAAGAAGCTCACCCTGATGACTTGGAAGATATTTCTTAGTTCATCATTCTTCGTTGGAGCTTTGTTAGCTAGTCATATCAGCTCATCATTCTTCATTGAAGCTTTGTCAGCTTGTCATTCTTTATCAAAGCTTTTTGAGCTTGTCTTTCTTCATTGGAGCTTTGCAAGTGCTTCATCGGAGCATTATGAGCTTGTCATTCTTTGTTGGAGCTCTATGAGCTCATCATTCTTTGTTCAAGCTTTTCAAGCTCGCCATCGGAGCATTATGAGCTCATCATTTTTCATTTGAGCTCATCCATGCTAGGCCTCAACTCGTAATTCTTTTTGAAAGGCTCACCAAATAAAGATTTGGATCTCACCTAACCCGAGTGGAGATTTGGGTCTTGCTATAACACCCCACATACCTTAATGAATAATTTAAAAATCAGAGTCCTTTATTTTATAGTTCTAGGGATTAAATTGAGTGAATTTAAAGTTTGGAGGTTTTAAGTAAGACTTAGGAGGAGTTGAAGAGCCTTAACTCAATTATTCCAATTTTTCTTACCACATGGCATTATACCAACCAAGCATTTTTCTTTTTTGGCTGGACTTAGATAAGCCTCCAGAAGGCTCCTGAAAGCCCACCATTTTTTTGCGCCTTCCTCTTCCAACTGTCCCCTGCATCTTTCTTCCTTCTTCCTCCAGCCAAGATTGAGGTCTAAAGAGCACTCTCCCCCTAGAATCCTTTTTAATCTCTATTGTCCTCTTCAATAAGACACTTGAGTTTCAAGTAAGTGTAAGTTTAGTTATAGATTTGGGTTAGAGTTTTGGGGGGAAATTATGGAATTTGTTATAACATACACAAAAATTAGTTTAAGCGGTGGGATATGACTATAAATCTTTTGTTTAAGAAATTTTGAGTATTAGAATTTTTGTTTAGTAAAATTTGGAATTTTGGGCACTAGTGGAGTGTAGAGCCGGAAGTGGATTTTGGTTGATGTTGGAATTCCTTGTGAATTGTTATTAGCTAATTACTTGTTGGAACTGTTCATGTATTATTGTTTATGCATTACTATTCATGCATTATTGTTCATACACTAATTGCTGCTTACACACTATACTTTAATTTCTCTCAATAGGAAGTTTTATGGAATATGTGAGTTACGTATGTGGATATTAGTATGAACTTGAATTGTCCACGCCACTAATTAATAAGAACATTAAAGGGGATAATATTCTAATATTATTTTGAACCTGTTCTAAACTTGTTTAACGTGTGTATGTGTTTGTGGCTATGGAGTAAGTGGACTTAAACTCAAAGCTTGGGGTATTCTGTGGACCCTTTGGGGTATTTAGTGGATCTCTGCACAGTAGGGTTAGTACTATGATTAGCTCTGGTATAGTGTTGCTAGCACACATCAATGGACTCCATAGCATTGTGTGATTTTCGTTTTTATGCATTTTGCTTGTGACATCGTATTTATGAGCATATAATTTTATTATATGAATTTGATTTAAATATCATTGATTATTTCTTAACATGTGTGATTATGATTTGAGATATTAAGTTATTACTTAAATATTGGAATTATATTATTATGTGGTTTGGTTCTGTTGTATCTTATGCTATTTGTGTGTATAGGTCTAGAGGTCTTAGGACCCAAGTTGTAGCTTAAACTTAATACTTACTAGGCTTTTAGCTCATAAAATTCCCCCCCCCCATTTCAGATCCATAGATTGGAGTAGTAGTCATCAGTTGGGGAGTTTTGGTAGAGGTCTCGTATGCTCATTGTATGTAGAAGATAAGACCCCATGCTTTTTATATGAAGGCAGATCAATGTGTTACCAAAACAACAATTCTGCTTTTGATATTTTGAAAAGCTTTTGAGAAGAATTTGCCTCATATGATTTTGTGTAAATTACTTTTATGTATATAATATTTAAATTAATTAAATGAGCTTTGCCCAGCTTATTTTATAACTTTGAGTATTTTGACATTTCCTTAAGATATTTTCTTGTTAAAGTAGTTTTCCTTCACAAGTATTTGATTTTCTTTCTATAAACTTTTAAATTGATTTAAAAGCAAGTTCTCTTTTAAGGAAATATTTTATAATAGAAGTGTTTTTACTTTCACTGCAATCTCTTAATATAATTCTTATTTTTGAACTCCATTGGGACTGAGAGTACCTAGGGGAGGTGTGTCATATTTTTGGTATCAGAACCAAGATTTTGCTAATACATTGATCTACCATATGAGTTAGAGTCTAGTGTCATAGGATTAGATTTTACCTAACTATTAGTTGTGCATCATTTTTTTTTTATTTATATCGGTACAAGAGGAGAAAGATGAGTTAGGGAGACAATACTTCTACTCCTACTCCTACTGATGATGTGAATGCCTGAATAGATGTAATGCAAAAAGCCATTACGGACATGAGTTCTGTCTTTAAGGATTACCTTCTACACCAGAACAACAATAATGCCCAACAAAACACTAGTGGCAATTCACAGCAAACAGTGGACTCAAGGGAAGGAAATGAGCAGTTGACACTAGTGAAGCAATTTCAGAATATGAACCCAACTAGCTTCAAGGGAGTCCCTGATCCTAATGTGGCTGAGTCTTGGGTCAAGAAACTTGAAAAGATGTTCAAGTTGCTAAAGTGTACTGATGAGCAAAAAGTGGAGCTGGCAGTGTTCACGTTAGAAGGTGAAGCTGATGATTGGTGGATATCTGCTCAAGATGGGTTCTCTAAGAGGGGGGAGAAGGTAACATGGGACAAGTTTGTTCAGGCCTTCTATCAGAAATATTTCTTTGAAGTTGTTTTAAAGAAAGCAACTAGAGTTCATGAATTTGAAGCAAGATGATATGACAGTTCATGAGTATCAAGCTAAATTCAATTCCCTTGTGAAGTTTGCTCCTTATTTTGTCAATGATGAGACTAGGAAAGCAAGGGAGTTTCAGAAAAGGTTGAAAGCTTCCATTAGGAACAAGGTGGTTCCTCAAATGTTAAAGACTTATGATGAGGTTTTAGCCACAGCGCCCACGTGTTGATTGACTCTGGATCTACCCACTCATTTGTGTCACCTAAGTATGTGCCATTTTTGCATGTGGAGCCTCAAACCCTTGATTGTGTGCCTATGGTGAATACTCATTCTAAGGAAGTTTTAACATCAAAAACCATCTATAGATCCTGTAGAGTTATGGTAGAGGGTAGAGTTTTGCTTGCCAATTTGATTTTGTTAGGAATAGTAAATTTTGATGTCATACTTGGTATGGATTGGTTGTCTACCCATTATGCCATGGTTGATTGTTATGAGAAGGTGGTTACCTTTTCCGCTCCTAATCAGCCAGTGATTCGATTTGAAGGAGAAAAACTTGGATCAGTTCCATTACTTGTCTCTTGCATGCAAGCTGATAAAATGTTGCAGCATGAATGTTATGGATATCTGGCATATGTTTTTGAATCTAAAAAGAAGCCGGTGTTCGTAAAAGGAATTCGGGTAGTGGAAGACTTCCCTGATGTCTTTCCTAAGGAGTTGCCTGGGTTATCTCCAGATAAGGAAATTGAATTTATTATAGATCTTGTGCCTGGTACTTCACCAATATCCCAGCAACCTTATAAAATGGCTCTAGTAGAATTAATTGAATTGAAGAAATAGTTGCAAGAGCTTCTTGATAAGGGGTTTATTAGACTCAGTACTTCTTCCTAGGGCACTCTGGTTCTTTTTGTAAAGAAGAAAGATAGCTTACTTAGATTGTGCATTGACTATAGACGGTTGAATCAAGTCAGTGTCAAAAACAAATATCCTTTACCAAGGATTGACGATTTATTTAATCAGTTACAAGGGGCTCGTGTCTTTTCCAAAATTGATCTTAGATCATGTTACTATCAACTAAAGGTTAAACCTTAGGACGTGATGAAAACTACTTTTAGAAGCAAATATGGGCACTACGAGTTGCTGGTAATGCCATTTGGTTTAACCAATGCCCCTGCAACTTTTATGAATCTTATGAATAGAATCTTTCAACTGTACTTAGATAAGTTTTTCATTGTCTTTATTGATGACATTCTTATCTTTTCACCTGATAAAGAGAGCCATAAGGAGCATCTTGCCATTATATTGCAGATTTTGAGAGAAAAGAAGTTGTATGCCAAGTTTGATCAGTGTGAATTTTGGCTGAATCAAATTAGTTTCCTGGGTCATATTGTTTCTAAAGACGGCATATTAGTTGATCCTAGTAAAGTGGAAGCAATTGTGAAGTGGGAAAGGCCGACTAGTGTCACCGAAGTGCAGAGCTTTCTTGGGCTAGTAGGATATTATAGAAGGTTTGTGGAGGGATATTCAAAGATTTTCGTTCTGTTAACACAACTTACTCATAAGAATCAGAAGTTTGAATGGATAGATAAATGTGAGCAAAACTTTTAAGAGTTGAAGAACAAATTGGTCACAGCACCAATTCTTGCTATTCCCGACAATTAAGGAAACTTTGTGGTGTATACCGATGCTTCTCATAAAGGCTTAGGTTGTGTACTCAGGCAACATGGATGGGTGATAGCTTATGGGTCCAAACAACTCAAGACACATGAGAGGAATTACCCTACTCATTATCTAGAACTTGCTGCCATAATTTTTGCACTTAAGTTGTGGAGGCACTATTTGTATAGAGAAGAGTTTAAGGTGCACACTGATCACCAAGGCTTGAAATATTTATTTTCACAAAAAGAGCTTTACTTGAGACAAAGAAGATGGATGGAGTATCTGAATGACTTTATATGCAAAATTGTCTACCAGCCTGGAAAAGGAAATGTGGTTACAGATGCACTTACCAAAAAATCAACTAGCACCTTAGCAAGCTTAATGGTGATGGAGTGGAAACTCTTAGAGGAAATCAAGGATTTGAATGTTAGATTTTTGCCACCAAAGTCTGATGTACTAGTGTATAGTTTAATGGTTCAAACTACATTGTTGTCAAAGATCAAGGAAGCACAACAGAAAGATTCATGATTGATGGAGTGGATGAGGGACAGTGGAGAGAGCTCCAAAATGGGTCTTCATGTTTCGAATGATGGAGTTATAAGACTTGGAGATAGAATTTGTGTTCCATATGACGAAGGGTTAAGGGCAGAATTACTCCAAGAAGCACATAAGTTTAATTACACCATTCACGTGGAGGGGAGTAACAAAATGTATCATGACTTGAAAGAAACATTCTGGTGGAAAAGCATGAAGAAGGATGTGGCTAAATATGTGTCCAAGTGCTTAACTTGTCAAGTGGTAAAAGCAAAGCACCAGAAGCTAAGAGGGCAACTTCAACCTTTGCCTATACCGAAGTGGAAGTGGAAAGCCATCTCAATGGACTTTATTGTGGGATTGCCGAAGACAAAAAGACAATTTGATGCAATTTGGGTGATTGTGGATAGATTGACAAAGTCAACTCACTTTTTGGCCATAAAACAAAAAAACCCATTGGACAAGTTAGCAAACCTTTATGTTCAGGAGATTGTTAGACTCCAAGGAGTTCCAGTGAGCATTGTATCAGACAAGGATCTAAGGTTTACTACAAGATTTTGAAGATCTTTTCAAAAAGCCATGGGAACTCAATTGAAATTAAGCACAACATACCACCCACAAACTGATGGGCAATCTAAAAGGGCTATTTAAGTGCTTAAGGACATGCTAAGAGCTTATGCATTAGATTTGCATGAGAGTTAGGATGATCATCTTCCATTGGCAAAGTTTGCTTATAATAATGAGACTGTGCCTTTGGTGAAAGTGTTGTGGCGGCATCATAATGAGAATGAAGCTACATGGGAGCTTGAAAGTCAAATGAGGGAGTAGTATCCAAATCTATTTTCGTAAGCTAAATGATTTGGTGGGCCAAATCCCTTTAAAGTGGGGAAGATGTAACACCCCATATATATTAGTGAATAATTTAAAAATTAGAGTCCTTTATTTTATAGTTCTAGGGATTAAATTGAGCGAATTTAAAGTTTGGAGGTTTTAAGTAGGACTTATGAGGAGTTGAAGGGCCTTAATTCAATTATTCCAATTTTTCTTACCACATGGCATTATACCAACCAAGCATTTTTCTTTTTTGGCTAGACTTAGATAAGCCTCCAAAAGGCTCTCGAAAGTCCACCATTTTTCTGCACCTTCCTCTTCCAACCGTCCCCTACATCTTTCTTCCTTCTTCCTCTAGCCAAGATTGAGGTGCAAGTAGCACTCTCCACCTAGAATCCTTTTTAATTTCTATTGTCCTCTTCAATAAGGCACTTGATTTTTAAGTAAGTGTAAGTTTAGTTATAGATTTGGGTTAGAGTTTTAGGGGGAAAATTATGGAATTTGTTATAACATACACAAAAATTAGTTTAAGTGGTGGGATATGACTATAAATCTTTTGTTCAAGAAATTTTTGAGTATTAGAATTTTTGTTTAGTAAAATTTGGAATTTTGGGCACTAGTGGAGTGTAGAGTTGGAAGTGGATTTTGGTTGATGTTGGAATTCTTTGTGAATTGTTATTAGCTAATTACTTGTTGGAACTGTTTACATATTATTGTTCATGTATTATTGTTCACGCATTATTGTTCACGCATTACTGTTCACGCATTACTGTTCAGGTATTACTATTTATGCATTACTGTTCACACATTACTATTCACGTATTACTATTTATGCATTGCTGTTCATACACTAATTGCTGCTCATGCACTATATTTTAATTTCTCTCAATAGGAAGTTTTATGGAATATGTAAGTTGCGTATATGGATATTAGTATGAACTTGAGTTGTCTATGCCACTGATTAATAAAAGCATTAAAGGGAATAATATTTTAATATTATTTTGAACATGTTCTAAACTTGTTTGACATGTGTATGTGTTTGTGGCTATAGAGTAAGTGGACCTAAGCTCAAAGCTTGGGATATTCAATGGACCCTATGGGGTATTTAGTGGACCTTTGCATAGTAGGGTTAGTACTGTGATTAGTTCCGGTATAGTGTTGCTAGCACCCATCAGTGGACTTTATAGCATTGTGTGATTTTCGATTTTATGCATTGTACTTGTGACATTGTATTTGTGAACATATAATTTTATTATATGAATTTAATTTAAATGTCATTGATTATTTCTTAACATATGTGATTATGATTTGAGATCTTAAATTATTACTTAAATATTGGAAATTATAATATTATGTGGTTTGGTTCCATTGTATCGTATGCTCTTTGTGTGTATAGGTCTAGGGGTCTTAGGACCCAAGTTTGTAGCTTAAACTTAATACTTACTAGGCTTTTAGCTCATAAAATCCCCCCCCCCACATTTCAGATCCATAGATTGGAGTAGCAGTCATCAACTAGGGAGTTTCGATAGAGGTCCCGTATGCTTGTTGTACGTAAAAGATAGGACCTCGTGCTTTTTAGATATGGAGGCGGATCAATGTGTTACCAAAACGACAATTCTGCTTTTGATATTTTGAAAAGCTTTTGAGAAGAATTTGCCTTATATGATTTTGTGTAAATTACTTTTATGTATATAATATTTAAATTAATTAAATGAGCTTAGCCTAGTTTATTTGATAACTTTGAGTATTTTGACATTTCCTTAAGACATTTTCTTGTTAAAGTAGTTTTCCTTCACAAGTATTTGATTTTCTTTCTATAAACTTTTTAAATTGATTTAAAATCAAGTTCTCTTTTAAGGAAATATTTTATAATAAAAGTATTTTTACTTTCGCTGCAATCTCTTAATATAATTCTTATTTTCGGACTCCTTTGGGACTGAGAGTACCTAGGGGAGGTGTGTCATACTTGCTCAACCCTACTCATCTTTTGACGAGATCTTAAGGCAGTAAATAAAACTCTGATGTAAGAGCTCACCAAATGAATATTTGGATCTTGCTTAACCCTGCTCATCTATTAAAGAGGTCTTAGGGCGGCAAATAAAATGCTGATGTAAGAGCTCACCAGATGAAAATTTGGATCTTGCTTGGCCTTGCTCATCTATTGATGAGGTCTTAGGGCGGCAAACTAGGAAGCTGAGAGATGACGACTTGGAATTAGGGATCTGAGTTGGAGCTGAGAGTGACGACCTGGAAGATATTTCTCAGCTCGTCATTCTTTGTTGGAACTGTTAGCTCGTGATTCTTTTTGAAAGGCTCACCAAATAAAGATTTGGATCTTGCCCAACCCGAGTGGAGATTTGGGTCTTGCTCAGCCATGCTCATGTATTGACGATGTCTTCGAGTGGAAGATAAAACTCTTATGTAAGAGCTCACCAAATAGAGATTTGGATCTTGCCCAACCTTGCTCGTTTATTGACAAGGTTTTAGGGTCAAAGATAAAACTCTGATGTAAGAGCTCACTAAATAAAGATTTGGATCTTGCTCGGCCTTGCTCATCTGTTGAGGAGGTCTTAGGGTGGCAAATAAAACTCTGATGTAAGAGCTCACCAAATGGATATTTGGATCTTGCTCAGCCCTGCTCGTCTATTGACAACGTCTTAAGGCGGTAAATAAAACTCTGACGTAAGAGCTCACCAAATGGAGATTTGGATGTTGCTCAACCATCCTCGTCTATTGACGAGGTCTTAAGGTGGAAGATAAAACATTGATCGAGAAGTTGAGGAATGACGACCTAGAACCGGGAAGCTAAGGAATGACGACCTAGAACTGGGAAGCTAAGGAATGACGACCTGGAAAACCACGAAGCTGAGGAATGATGACCCGGAAAACCAAGAAGCTGAAGAAGATGAGGGGTGACGACCTGGAACTAGGAAGTTGAGGAATGATGACTTGGAAAACCAAGAAGTTGAGGAAGCTAAGGGGTGACGACCTGGAACTAGGAAGTTGAGGAATGATGACCTGAACCTAAGAAGATAAGAAGTGACAACCTAGAACCAGGAAGTTAAGGAGTGACGACCTGGAACCAAGAGTTGAGGAATGACGACCTAGAACCAAGAAGTTGAAGAATGACGACTTGGAACCAACGGGTCTATGAGTGACGACTTGGAACCAATGGGTCTATGAGTGACGACCTGGAACCCAGGATCTAAGGAATGATGACCTAGAACCAAGAATCTAAGTAATGATGACTTAGAACCAGGAATCTGAGGGAAGACGACCTAGAAACCAAGAATATAAGGAATGACAACCTGGAAACCAAGAAGCTCAGAGATGATAACCTAGAATCAAGGATCTGAGCTGAAGTTGAGAGTGATGATTGGGTTCCGTAGATCTAGCTTCTCTTTCTCCTTTCTTGGTCAACAATGACAACAAAGCATGAAAGCTTTTTATTCGATTCCCACAAATGGCGCCATTGGTTTGGGCAGCTTCATGAGCTCTAGTTGACCACGAGTTGACCAGTGAGGGGAATTGCAAAACAGACCTGAAGGTTGTCCCTCGGGGTAGATACTCCAACGCTCAAGTTAGCAATACTTTATACTTGGGGCTCTTTTTAGAGAGAGAAGAGCTCTCAAAGAAATCCCTTACCTTTGAGAGGTGTGGGGGTATTTATAGACTCCTTAGAAGTGATTTACACATGTTGCACTTCTATTAATCCCTTTGGATCCATTTGAGTATATGTGAGCTCCATAATGACTCATGCATGTGCTCTTTTACATTTGGCCCTCATGGGCCTTTATTATGTTTATAGACTAGTTAGATTATTATCCTAACAATGAGAAAGAAAATATTCTATATAAATTAATTAATTTTTATTAACAAAGAAAAAAATTTACATCAATGAATATTGGTGGGAGTTAATGGTGATCATACGAAGGCCAGCCTTCCGAGCGCAAGAAGTCCTATGATAACTTGACTGAACATATGAAGGTGAATTGAGTCTTGAAGGTAAAATGTTTGAAGGTATAGTAGAATACTAGTAATTGATATTTTCAAATTACAATATTTGGATTACAAATTTTAAAATATAATATTTAAAATTATTATCTCACATTTAAATTTAGAAAAAAAAAA